TTCCTTCACCCCGCTTTCTGACCAGACTGTAGTGAGAAATATAGACCTTTTGTCCAGGGCTGCCGTGTCTGATTTTACAGATCTTGCCATGGCGAGGCTATCCAAGCCAAGTATTCTGAATGGGGTTGAAATCCCAACTGTGGGATTCATTTGCCATTTTGGAATTTGCATGAAGGTGTAGGATGTGCTAACAGCTACCCTGCTAGCTTCCACTTTACAAGGAAGTGTTTAAATACGCTTGTGAGAAGGTGCAATATGAAGAAAATTGCCTTAGATCATCAGGTCTGAAATATTTTGTTAGAAACTAAATTTATGCTAATGATTGCTTACGGTGGAACCCCTAGATAGCCTCAGGATAGGGCCAGTCACCAGAAAGACCAGGTGATTAGAAGATTAGGGATTTACAATTTTCAGCCCAATTCACCAACCTCTGGGAAGGAGAGTGGGCAGCTAAGACCAAGCTCTATAAAAATTCAACAACAAGATTTGGTGAGCTTCCGGGTTGCTGAACACATGGTGGTGTGTGTGTGGCGGGGCTTGTGCACCCAGAGAGGATATGGGCACTCCACGCCCCTTCCTCCTACCTTGCTCTATACATGTCTTCATCTGGCTGTTCATTTGTATCCTTTATAATAAACTGGCAAATGTAAAAAAACAAAATAAAAAACCCCACAAAACTATGCTTTCAAATAGCACACTTGATAGGAATCCTCTTAATTAGACAGTATCTCTGCATCTAGGTAGACAAACCAAAATAAGGAGTTTATTCCTCTCTGATGTATTGTTCACTCTCTAGGAGTTAAGTCCATGAAATGTCTCTTGAATATGTTTGTCTCTGCTGATCTGAACTTGTTTTGAACCAAATAGTTGTCCTTGCTTATATTGATGATACAGGATTTTGGCTTTTATCTTCAGTAGAAGATCGATGTGTCACATAGTGTTCACTAAGAAAAAGGTATGGGGCCTTTTTGTAATTCTTTGTCAGATGATTGCTTTATCTTGATTTATGCCTTCAAACTTATTCGGCAGAAAATATTGATGTCGCTATCTGTGATAGCAAAGTGATCTGTACCAATTTATGCTCTGAGTGCAGCCTCCTCCCAGAATTGTTCGTGGAACATATCAACTCACTATCGATTAGAGACACGATGCATCCTTCTTTCTTAAAAGTGCAAGATTGATAATTTTAGTTCATATCCAAGTTTCTATAGTAACATTTTTAGTAAAAATATTTCTATGTAAAATAAAAGATCCTAGGTGATTATTATTTCAGTGCCTCCCAGAATTTCAAGGCCTGAAAAGAAACTCAGTGTTCCTGGTCATAACAAAATTGCCCTTCCTTATATCAGGACTGCCATTTGGAACTGCTTTAGGGGCTATTTTCTGAAATTATTTTCAAACAGCATTTATCAACTTTTG